CTGGCCAGTCTTGGGTGGGTTTTTGACTTCATGCAGGAAAGATCTCACAACATGAGTCCAGTTGGTTTTGAGGTACGTTTATTAAAGCTGAGGACAGTGAGACAAAGGAAGGTCGTAGGGTAGAAGAAGCAACAGGAGGGAGCCCAGGCGGTACTCTGTTTTTACTCTCTAGGAATGTTATAAGAAAGAAGTAAGCCACGCTGGGCTGAGTGAATTCACTGAGAAGTAAAAGTCACAGTGAGGGAAGTGAGTCTAGGCAGGCTGCTTTTAGCTCACTGAAAAGTCTAGGATAGAAGAAGCAACAGGAGAGAGACTAGGTGGTGTTCACTGTGGCTCTCTAGAGACGTTATAGCGAGTGAACCACCGTGGGCTGCTGTTAGCTCACTGCAAAGTCAGAGGAAAGGAGACCTTGGAAACAGAATCAGGGTGTAAACCTGGGGCAAGCCGCCACTGCCTAATGCTCCCCGGGTTGCAAGTCTCGTGGGAACCCTTAGAGTTTCTAGGAGAGAAAAGTAAAGATGTACACCTGAGAGGGAAGAAAGTTGTGGGCGTGCTCCAGAGAGAGCCCACCTCAAAGTGAAATCTTTTTCTGTAGCTCTGATTTGTGGTAAATCACTCTACAACGATGCCTATAATTTTGCAATAAAGGCCTATAATTTTTTTTTGGCATTGGTTATTTTTTCCCCGCTATTCAATTAAATTGAATTCTATCAGATGACCATTGTTACATTATGTTTTGTGGGAAAACATGTAGAGCATTTGTAGCAGGAATAGGAAACGGTAGTGAAAAAAGCCATGTGAAAGGTGGCCTGATGTCTAAAAAAAAACACCTATTGCTATATTAGCAAGTTAATTGATGAAATGTTTTATCTGCCCTAAGGCCCACCTCAATTATGTAAGTGACTTTTTTACACTTAAAGTAAAATCAAAGGAAGCCATGTTTTTTAAAATCAGGAGGTAATTTCTGATCCTCTTTAAAAATATACCTTTTTGTCTGACCCCCGTGTATTTTTGCTTGGTACTTAGAAGACTACATTTCCCAGAAATCTCCACAAGGAATTTCTCTAAAACTAGAGTACTTTCACCCACAATACTCCCATCTGGAATGGTGTTAGGCAATAAATAATTCTCTCCTCTGCATCATAAAACATGTGATTGAAAAAAGAACTAGTGTTTAGTTATAATGTAAATTGCAAATGAGGATTTTAAGCATAAAGCAAAATTGTTCTAAAGAAATCAGTAGTTTTGTTTTGTACTAATTGGGAAATACTTAAATGTGTTTAGTTTCAAAACAATTCTGATTCCACTGCTAAGCACACTGCTCCCACCGAATGCCGTAATACAACCTGAACAAAATGCAGAGAGCAACTACTGAGGAGTCTGAAGAGAAGATATTAGCAGGCAAATTGGGGAGAAGGCCACTGAACTAGCGAATTCACCATTTTTGTTTCCTCTGATGTCCCCTGGCCTGGTTTCAAGGCAGCCAAAATCTGGAATTTAGGGAATAAACAGAGAGAGCTCTCAAAGAGGCTCCCTAGTTCTGACTTGAAGATCAGGAAAGGAGACCCCTTGATGCTCAGGGTGAGTGGGGGAAATAATTGTTCTTTTCTGTTTTAGTCTCTTCTCCATTGTCTCATGACCCAGCCTCCAAGCAATCCTGCAGTGGTGGCTGTGACAACAGGGACCCATAGGTGCCTGAAACTCGGAGGGAGGAGAAACTTCTCCAATCAGAGTAGCTGTGGTCCTGGATTACATACTTAGCAAAAATATCCTTCAGAAATAAAGATGATGTAAAGACATTCCAAGATAAAGAAAAACTAAGATAATTCATTGCCAGAAAAACTGCTCTGAAAGAACTACTAAAGAAAATTTTTTAGTTAGAAGGGAAATTATATAAAAGGAAACTTGGAACATCGGGAGGGAAGAAAGGACAGCCACAATGGTAAATATCTGGGTACATTTAATAACCTATTCTTCTCCTCTTGAATTCTTTAAAATATGTTTGACAGTTGAAAGCAAAACTCTCAACATTGTCTGATGGGGTTTCAATGTAGTAGATGTAAAACGTAAGACAATTAGTTGCAATACAAAGGAGGGAGTATACCAGCAAAGGAACTTATATGATGCAAGGTTTCTACGCTCCACTTGAAGTGGTAAAATATTGATTCTAAATAGAATGTGAAAAGTTAAACATGTGTTTTGTAGTTTTTAGAGCATCCACTTAAAAATATAACAAAAGATATAGTAAAAATCAGTAGATAAATTAAAATGGAGTTCTAGAAAAATGTTCAAATTTTCCAAAATAAGACAGGAGAAAATGGTAAACAAACAATAAAATGGTAGATCTAAACCCAAGCATATCAATATCAATATGTGGCTTAATGACACATCAATTAAAACAGAGATTATCAGGATGGATAAAAATGACTTAATTAGATGCTATCTACAAGAAACTCAGTTTAAATATAATGATATAGGCAGGCTAAAAGTAAAAGATGGAAAAAGATATACCATGCAAATACTAATCAAAGGAAAGCTGGATAGCTTAATATGAGAAAAAGACTTTACAGGCAGAGAGAAACAAATACCATAAGATTTCACTTACATGTGTAATCTTAAAAACAAAACAAACAAACCAAAACAGAAACGGATTCATAGATACAGGAAACAAATTGGTGATTACCAGAGCAGGGTGGAATGGAGGTATAAGTGAAATAGGTGAAGGGGATTAAGAGGTACAAACTCCAGTTATAAAATAAGTAAGTCACAGGGATATAATGTACAGCATGGGGAAGGGAATGCAGTCAGTAATATTGTAATAACTGTGGTGACCAATACTAACTCATTGTGGTGATCATTTTGTAACGTACAGGTATACCAAAAAATGTATACACACTTTAACAGCTGATAGGTCAATTTCCAAAACGAAATGTATTTTAATAAACACTGCTTTTATAATTACTCAAAGTGTATGTATACATTTTTTTTGGAACTCCCTATATGTAAATATCAAATCACTATAATGTACACCTGAAACTAATAGGATATTGTATGCCCATTATATTTCAATTAAAAAAAAAGAAAAGAAAGACTTCAGAAAAAAGAAAATTACTAGGGATAAAGAGAACCATTATACAGCAATAAAAGGGCCACTTCACCAGGAAGACATAATAATTACAAATGTGAATGCATCTAATAAAAGAGTTTCAAAATACATGAGGCGGCCAGAACCGGTTTGGCTCAGTGGATAGAGCGTCGGCCTGCGGACTGAAAGGTCCCAGGTTCGATTCCGGTCAAGGGCATGTACCTGGGTTGCGGGCACATCCCCAGTGGGAGGTGTGCAGGAGGCAGCTGATCGATGTTTCTCTCTCATCGATGTTTCTGACTCTCTGTCTCTCTCCCTTCCTCTCTGTAAAAAATCAATAAAAATATATTTAAAAAAAAAAATACATGAGGCGAAAACTGTCAGAACTGAAAGGAGAACTAGACAGATTCACAATGACAGCTCTAGACATGGACACTCCTTTCTCAGTAACAGAAAATAAGCGAAGTGACAGGAAATAAGCAAAGATGTAGGAGAACTGAGCAGCACTATGTGCTACATGTAACAACTTGGACTCATCTCAAAGATGTTACACTGAGTGAAATAAACCAGTCTCCAAAAGATTTTATACTGTATGATTCTATTTACATGAAAATGGAAAAATAAAAAATAAAACTATAGTCATGTAGTAGAGTGGTTGCCAGGAGTTAGAATGGGAGAAAGATGTGACTGGGAAGGGATAGCATAAGGCAGTTTTTTTGGTTGATGATACTGTTGGCATCTTGCTTGTGGTGGTGGAATCTACATATGTGTTAAAATTGATAGAACTGTGCACCAAAATGAAAAAGTCAATTTTTCTGTATATTAATTTTAAAAATAAATTTTATAAAGGTAATTTGACATTTAAATCTTATAGTTAATATACTCAAAGAAGCCATTTAGAATTTAGTTTGTAGCATAACAGTATTTTAGAGAATATCACAGGCTTAATTTTACAGTATAGTATGGAGCTCACAAAGCATTATATGAAAATTTCCTAGCAAACTCCAAATAAGAAAAGAAATCATTTTAATGTAAGGAATGCTTAATAAACACCAAGTAAAAGAACATTTATTTTAGTAACCTTCACTTGAATTCCAGCTGCAGACAACATATCTGCTAACATTTTTAACATAATAAACATACTTAGTTTTACTGATACATGAATGGTGATTATAATAATCAGTAAGTAGTGAACAAAAAGGTTAAATAACCTATAAATAGACTGACTAACAGCCATTTAGATAATTTAAAACAAAGATGAATTTTATAACTCTTCAATTAAGATACAGTGGGGCCTTGACTTACGAGTTTAATTCGTTCCGTGACGGAGCTCGTAACTCAAATTACTCGTATGTCAAATCAACAGTGAACAAGTGAGACATGTGATGCTGGGCTGATGTTGTGGCGTTCACTGTGACATTCGCTGCACCAACTAGCGGTGGGGTATCTGAAGCTGGCTCGTAACCCGAATTTTAGCTTGCAACTCAAAGCAAAAAATCGGCCGAGAGACAGCTCGTATCTCGAAAAACTCGTTAGGCGGGACACTCTTAAGTCAAGGCCCCACTGTATTAGATTGAAAACCATGGCACTAGGTCAAATCAAGGATGATATGCATTTGAATCAAATAAATTATTGTCTGGCCCTAACCAGTTAGGCTCAGTGAATAGGGCATCAGTCTGTGGACGGAAGGGTCCGGCAGGTTCAATTCCGGTCAAGGGCACATGCCCAGGTGTGGGCTCGATCCCCAGTAGGGGGTGCACAGGAGGCAGCCGATCAATGATTCTCTCTCATCATTGATGTTCCTATCTCTCTCTCCCTCTTCCTTCCTCTCTGAAATAAATAAAAATGTAAAAATAAGTAAATTATTGTCTGTGGGGAAATAAAAAAGTAGTAATTATTAATTAGCCCCATAAATTTAAAATAAATATTCCAATGTAAAGTAGCCCTTTAATAACATCCTTGAGTGTCTCCTGAAGCCATATAATATTTTCAAAATGTATTCTAAATGCAACATTCAAGTCAGGGAAGTGGTACATACTATACATTCAAGTCAGCTAAGTTAAAACTATTACTCAGCTATAATTTAGTATTTCTGTGAGCATATATGTTTCCAGCTCTGGCTATGATTATTCTGAGCTTACAAAGAAGAAATGGCAGGTTGGCTTGTCTATGAAAGGGATCAGACCTTCAGCTGCTTCCAGGCGGCTGCTGCATTAAATCGAACAATCTATACAGAAATTCCAATGATGACATAAATCTGCATGTTCTGAATTTCCTTCATATTTTATGGAACATTGGTCCCACTGTAGCTATAATATCTGCATAGGGGGCACTCTGGCTCAGCTCAATAGCCCGCTGTTTTTTTAGGACAAGAAAGCTATAAAATCTGGCAGCAGCTTGTTTTCGGTCACTATTTCTGCAGAGAGTCATCAGACTAAAGCACTTCATTCCTGTCTTGTGAGATTCCTGGGAAAAGAATTAGAAAAGAGAGAAGGAAAGGCAAACAAGATCACTAGAAGTAGAGCAGGCTGTGGATGCACAATGAACAACAAAATATTGGCATTTTTAATAAGTGACTGTGAAAGCCTTACATGGAGAAATGCAAATGACTCATGAGTAAGCTTAAAAACCATATAGGTCATTGAGCACAAGCTTGGTTCATTGAGAAATGCATGCAAAAGAACTCTAAAGCGTTATACAAATTCCTAATGTGTTATACAAATGTTAGGTCTTTTAAAAAATTGATGTTAACATAAATGGCTCCTGTGGAAAGTGTAATTAATTTAGGCTTGCAGGGAGAGAAAAATCCACAGGACTTTGGGAGGCTCCTAACGCAATGAAGATTATAAGCTATCAGGCTTCTCTTCCTTAAAGGCACTGAGGGATGGTGGTTACTATGAAATTCTAGCAGTAAATATAGAATTCTATTTTGTATATCTCAGTGATAGGGCAATATGACTATATAAATATCTCCCAGTTTCTTTGCACAGGTTAAAAAGATGTTGGTTTCATCATAGGGTAACTGTGAACCTAATAGAAAAAGTTGAGGTAAAAATGAAGTGTTTAATTATGGATGAAGAGAACTCCTTTTATGAAGACTTGTACTTGGTGTCAGATTCCTAGAATAGAAGTATGGTTTTTAGTTAGAAATGCTGGCCAGTATCCCTGTGAGTACGGTACTTCTTGGATAGTTGTGAAGCATTTTTAGAAATATCATATACAAGTGTGTGTGTTGTTGTTGTTTTTTTTTTTACCAGTTCATACCATTTAACAAATTAATAAGCTAATTACTGTATCTCAACCAAAGAAGTGGCCAAGGCTTGGCAACCTTTCAGAGATGGCATGATAAGTCTTCATTTATTCCTGTTCTTGAGGAGATGTGATGTGAGTTAGGTGGCTTTCTCCCCTGGGAGGGAGCAGGGACAGCCCTTTCAATTTCAAGAATCCATTTGAAAACCACTCTGAGTGGACAAATATGCAAGGTTCAACAATGTGCTTATTCTGTTCCCTCCAGAAACCCCTCTAAAACGAAGGAAAAGAAATATAAGGTAACAAAGAAAGGAAATAAAGACAAAGAAAGTGAAAGACTGATGGACTTTGCCGAGTGGAGAAAGCTGAAACCCAAGTGCTCACAGGGAGGAAAGCCAACAAAAAGCAAGCCAATTTGAGCTATAGAACCTTTGGAAACCTCGGGAATTAGAGGCAACAGTATATGATGAGCTGGAGATATGGAGTGAAGCTGAAAACAGGAGAATTTCTTGAAAGTCTACTTGGGAGCAGTTAGACCCTCAAGTCCACTCCACCACTTCACAGAACCAAGACACAGCTGTAACCTAGCAGGCTATTTCCCCTGGGAGAGAGCAGGGACAGTCCTTTCAACTTTAAGAAACCCTTTTGAAAAAATACCCTGAGGGGACAAATGTGCAAGACTGAACATATGTGCTTACTCTGTTTCCCCCAGAAAGCTCTCTAAAATGAAGGAGGCAGGAAGATGCTTTTCTGGAGACAGCAACCATTGGGATGAGACTCTAATCTTGGGACACCAGGCACTGTGGATGGTAGAGAAATGTCACCCCACAAACGAGGGGGGTAAGTATAACCTACACCCTAAACAGTAAGAGAGTCAGCCTCTCCCTGACCCACTTTTGGTTCCCAAACCATGGGCATCATGCTTATACATATATGCTAGGCAGTAGATGTAAGGATCAAGCTGGGAAAATTGTCCATTTTGAGAAAAAACACACCTATAGGTAATGACATCAGTGTGTGTGTGTGTGGCGGGGGGAGGGGAACCACCCAATTACTTCATGATGAAATCCGTAAGTCTACAAGTACCACCCATCCTCTATAATAAAAGGTTAATATGCAAATTGACTGAATGGCGGAATGACCGGTCGCTATGACGCACACTGACCACCAATGCAGGAGCTGCCCCCTGGTGTTCAGTGTGTTCCCACAGTGGGGGAGTGGGCCTAAGCCATCAGTCGGACATCCCCCCAGGGCTCCCGAACTTTGAGAGGGCGCAGGCCAGGCTGAGGGACCTCCCCCCCCCCCCAGTGCACGAATTTCGTGCACCGGGCCTCTAGTGTTTATATAACTTTGAATCAGATTTTGGTGTTTCACTCTTAAATAAAAACAGGTAACCTAAGGTCCATCAGACATTTGAGTAAAAGTTCTGACATTCAAGAGCAAAAATGAAAGAATTCAAGAGAATCAGTAAGGAAACGGAGATAATGCAGGGAGCAAAAGAAAATGATAACCTCTAAAAGTTAAGAAAAGAGACTACATCTGAAAAAAATGATTAGGATGATATGAGAGAAAGCAGAGCAGCGATTTGCTTGGGGATGGGAGAGATGGGACAAGGGATTATCAAGAGGCACAAGGAAACTTTTTGGGATTGTACATATGTGCAGTATCTTTTTTTGTTGTTGTTAATCCTCACCCGAGGATATTTTTCCATTGATTTTTAGGGAGAATGGAAGAGAAAGGGGAAGACAAAGAGAAACATTGATGTGAGAGAAACACATCGATTGGTTGCCTCCTGCACGAGCCCTGACCAGGGCCAGGGCCCGAGAAGCCTGCAACCAAGGTACATGCCCTTGACTGGAAGCGACCCCGGGACCTTTTGGTCCACAGGCCAATGCTCTATCTATCCACTGAGCCAAACCGGCTAGGGCCATATGTTCAATATCTTGATTGTGGTAACAGGCCAATGCTCTATCCACCAAGCCAAACCGGCTAGGGCCATATGTTCAATATCTTGAATGTGGTAGTAGTTTCACAGGTATATACATATGCCAAAACTTATCTAACTGTATACTTTAAATAGGTATGGGTTTTTGTATATTGTACCTCAATGAAGCTGTTAAAATGAAATAAATAATAAGATTAGTATACTATAAAACAAACAAATGAAACCCCACCTAAAACCTAAGAAAAAACTCCTAGAAAACAAACAAACGAAAAAGGTAAAAGCAGAAATAAAATTCAATAGATTGGAAGATAAAGTTGAAGAAATATCCTAAACAGTAGAAAAACAACAACAAAGGAAATTAATAAAGGAGACACAAGATTTTTTTTAAATTGAAGGTGCAATTTAGGAGATCCTGCATCTGACCCCTCTGGACCCATTGGGCAGTCCAGAAAGAGAGGATAGATTAACAACAAGGAGAAAATCCAAGAAATAACAATAATAAAAAAATTCCCTAGAACTCAAGGGCATGAACTTTGAGAATAAAGAACCTGCTATACACTCAGCACAATAAATGAAAAAAGATTCATACCAAAGCACATCATCATGAGATTTCAGACCAATACGGATAAAGAAAAGATCTAACAGTTTCCGGAGAGAAAATAAAGGTCACTTACAAAGGATCACCAACCAAACAGCATCTGACTTTTCAATAACAACCAAGAAGCCTAGAAATGTTACAAAAGCCTTTAACATCTGAGAGATAACATTTCAAACTATGTTCAGAGACAACCAAACAAGTTAAAAGTAAAATAAAGAAATTTTCAGCCTTGTATGTAGGGTCTCCTATGCGCTCCGTGTCTCAGGAAATTATGACAGTATGCTGACCAAGAGGAAGATCAAAGTACCAGGAAACAGAGGAATCAACATAGGAAAAAGACAAAGGAATTCAATGTTATGGTAAAGGAATGTCCCAAGACAAAAACTGTGGGGCAGACCTAGAGAACAACTAATCCAGAGTAGAACAAAAGGATGATGAGCTCCAGGAGGAATAGCTTCAAGGAAAAGAAAATGGAACCAATGAATTATGTTGCCAGAAAGTTTGGAAAAATAATTAAGAATGGATATATAGACACTAGGAAAAAGAACGATTACCTACCCCCCTCATACAGTTGACAAGAAAATAAATGTAATTACACTATGAAGTTTCAATGTGGACTAATTTTTAACATAGTCTTTGGGGGTGATATCCATTCTCTGCTTCCTCCATGGTAATAGAATTACTACCTGGGCCCCAGATTGTCAGAGAAGGACTACATTTCCCAGCTAGATGTGACAAGGTGACTAAGAGCTGGTCAATGAAATGAGAAAAATGATACACACAATAACTGGGTTGTGCCCTTAAAAGAAAATTTGCTGCTGATTGGAATGCAGCAAAGCCATTTTGGATCATGAGAACAAAGAAAATGAGATAAAGGGAAAGGTGGGTCTCTGACAAGTTTGTGAGAACACCTGCCATGCCAGTTGGTACCTTTACCTGAGAGACAAAAAAGTCTACCTTTTTAAGCCACTGATATTTTGGCTCTCTGTCACAATCAAACCTGCGTTATAACCACTACAATTAAACATTATAAGCACTGAATACTGGGCTTAAATATACTGAGGAGGAGTGAGATGTAATTAAGCTAAATTTTCATTAGAAAGAAGTAAATAAAACTTAAAGCTAAAATATCAAGAGCAGTAAAACAAGTCATTAGAAATATGGATATAAATACTAAAAGAAACAGCTCAATATAGTTGCTTTTGGTGAGCAGGACTTAGAGATAAGAAGGGAACAGGCCTCACAGCATAGTACTATTAAACTTTCAAAATTACCTACATGTATTTTTTGATAAAAATATGTTAAATTTTAAAATTATGGTTCACTCATAAACTGTTATAAATTAAGTTCCACATTGAATATTTGTTAATAGTATGCTAAAAATAAGAATGGGACATAAAGTAGATGTCTAGGGGCATGGGAATGGGTAAGAAGTTGCTTAGAGCTTCTAATTAGAACTGTTTTGATGTAGGCACAAAAAACAGACTCCCATAATTAGCCTTGCGGATATTGCTCAAAATCATCTCACGAATCTGAAATGAAAAAACGGTTTCATTTTTACTGACCTCTAGAAAACTGAAGTTAACATTTTACTTATTTTTAAAAATAAAAATAGGGTTAACAAACCCTACCATCTTACCCGCAAATCATTTAACAGCCGATGTATTCTTCGATTCCATCTCTTTGCCTCAATATTTTGTTCACTTCCCAATGACTCCTGTTTGAATGATTGATAAAATATTTCACTTAACCAAATTTTACTGAATGTTTACTATTTGTCAGGCATAGTGGTAGCTGCTACAAGAAACACAATTATAACACTGGGCTCTGCAAATAAGGAGCTTATAGCCTGATTAACAGAGAGAACAAGACTGGAATTCAAATATAGATCAACCTCCTTAGTATTACATCTATACTCCCCAGGTTACCTTCTTTTTATTAAAATCTGTATTACATTTATTGGGGTGACATTGGTTAATCAAATTATATAGGTTTTAGGTGTACAATTTTATAATACGTTACCTGTATACTGTATTGTGTGTTCACAACCCCAAGTCAAGTCTCCTTCCATCGTTACTTATCCCCCCTTTTCCCTCTTCTACCTCCACCCACACCCATCTTTCCCCTCTGATAATCACAATACTGTTGTCTGTGACTATGAGGTTTTTTTGTTTTTGTTTTTTGCTTAATCCCTTTATCTTTTTCGCCCAGCCCACTACCCCACACCCCTCCGACAGCTGTCAATCTCTTCTCTGTATCTATGAGTCTACTTCTATTTTTTTAATTTATTTTTTATTTGTGTTAATTCTCACCCGAAGATATTTTCCCATTGACTTTTAGAGACAGTGGAGGGGGGGGGGGGGGGAGAGAGAGAGAGAGAGAGAGAAACATCGATGTGAGAGAGACACATTGACTGGTTGCCTCCTGCATGTATCCCCACTGGCTGGACTGGGGCTGGAGCCTGCAACCCAGGTACGTTCCCTTGACCAGGAATCAAGCCTGAGACCTTTCAGTGTGCAGGCCGATGCTCTAACCACTTGGAAACACCAGTCAGGGCAAATCTGTTTCATTTTGTTGATGGTTTCCTTTGCTGTGCAAAACTTTTTAGTTTGATGTAGTCCCATTTGTTTATTTTTTCTTTTGTTTCCCTTGTCTGAGGAGATATATCAGAAAAAATATCTCTATGAGAAATGTCCAATATTTTACTGCCTGTGTTTTCTTCTAGGATTTTTATGGTTTCAAGTCTAACACTTAAGTCTTTTATCCATTTTGAGTTTATTCTTGTGACCAGTATTAGAAGGTGGTCCAATTTCATTTTTTTTTTGCAGTTATCTGTCCAATTTTCTAACACCATTTATTGAATAGACCAGTGGTCGCCAACCTCTTGGACCTCACAGACCACCAGAGGTCCACGGACCACCGGTTGGTGACCGCTGGAATAGACTGTCTTTACCTCATTGCATGTTCTTGCCTCCTTTGTCATACATTTTATATATATATATAATTGATTTCAGAGATAGGAAGGGAGGGGGAGAGGTAGACAGAAACATGAGAGAATCATTAATTGGCTGCTTCTTGCACACCCCTACTGGGGATCGAGCTGCAACTTGGGCATGTGCCCTGATCGGGAATGGAACCTTGAACTTCTGATTCATGGAGCAACACTCAACCACTGAGCCACACTGACCAGGCTGTCAAATATTAATTGACCACAAAGGTATGGGTTTATTCTGGGCTCTCTATTCTGTTCCATTCATTAAATGTCTGTTTTTATGCCAGCACCATGCGGTTTTGATTATTATGGCCTTGTAGTATAGTTTGATATCAGGTAGTGTGATTCCTCCAACTTTGTTCTTTCTCAAGATTGCTGTGGCTACTCGGAGTCTTTTGTGGTTCCATATAAATTTTTGGAATATTTGTTCTAGTTCTGTGAAATACGCCATTGGTATCTTGATAGGAATTGCATTGAATCTATAGATTGCTTTGGGTAGTATGGGCATTTAAATGATATTAATTCTTCCTGTCCATGTACACTGTATAGGCTTCCACTTATTTGTATCTTCAGTGTCTTATAATTTTCTGAGTACAGATCTTTTGCATCCTTGGTTAAATTTATTCCTAGGTGTTGTTTCTTTTAATACAATTGTAAATTGGATTGTTTTCTTACTTTTCCTTTCTGATACTTCATTATTGATGTATATAAATGCAACTGATTTCTGGATATTCATTTTGTATCTTGCTACTTTACTGAATTCATTTATCAGTCCTGGTAGTTTCTTGGTGGAATCTTTAGAGGTCTATATATACAGTATCATGTCATCTGCCCCAGGCAATCTTCTGATAAGGGCTCCCGAGTAGGAGATTCTGTTGTCTTTACTGGTAATGCATCCAGGGCATTGGGCCCTTGCTTTGAAAAACAGTCAGCAAAGATAACCACTTTTGGCTAGGACTTATTTCAGCTCTGGTTAATCTGAACTCAGTTAACAGGAGTAAACATAAAGCTATATATTAAAAAACCTGCCTTGTAAAGGCCTTTATCTGAACTTACTTGGTGATACAAGAGCTCTTAACAATAACTGATGTTTAGCAGTTTGTGTACAATTGGGTTAGAAACCTTTCAGATTTTGAGGGTGCCTTGTCCAAAAGAGATCAACCAACTGCCTATCGTTATCTGAATAGATTCATTCTTTTCTGTTTTTAAACCTTCAGCAGCACCTCAGTATTGAAAAACCGTAAAGTTGAAATCCCTTCACAGGAACCCACTCAAAGCCCTTATCATCTAACACCTTATGAGCTGAGAACAGAACTGGACATAAGAAAGGCGCTGTTGAATCTGATAAAAAAGCAGGCCCACAAAGAGTTGGGGCAAGGAAAGTGGCCCAAATGTGACCTACTTTATACTTTTCCCTAAGCTAGCTCTGACCATGCAACACAACAGCATCTGTGTCACCTTTTCACGGGTTCACTGTCCTGCTTTCATGTGTATCTCTGGAGCCTGGATACTTCCTAAAAGTGCTTTCAATTACAAGGACTCCAAGATGATTTCAGAAAACTCCAGAATATTCTGTATGACATTTTATTCTTTTTAAAAAATATTTTGTATTGATTTCAGAGAGGAAGAGGGAGAGAGAGAAAAAAATCAATAATGAGAGAGAATCATTGATCGGCTGCCTTCTGCACATCCCTATTGGGGATCGAGCCTGCAACCTGGGCATGTGCCCTTGACCAGAATTGAACTGGGACCCTTCAGTCAGTAGGCTGACACTCTATCTGCTGAGCCAAACCAGCTAGGGCCTGTCTGACATTTTAAATTATTTGAGGCTAAGGGGACTGCTGAGTCCCCATCCCCACCAGCTTTATGGCTTCCTGATCCTACCGATGCTGTATCCTTTCTTACATTCCAAAGAAAATTTGAAAATATGGTCACTTTATTCTGAAGAGTTTTCCCAATCCCTCCAGTTACAATGGATGTTTATTCCTTTCTGGCCTGTTCTTGGGTAAATGAGCTCATCCAATTACTAATGTTGATTTTTATTGTTAAATACACAAAATGCTATTTTTCAAATGTAAAAAGCAATGGTCCAACTCTTTGTTAGAGATCCACGAGACTGAAGCTTGACCTATATTGCACAACTAAACTAACCAGGAAAAGGTTCAGAAGAAATAGTTTGTGTGCTTTGCTGAATGAAGCCTGTCCACTTGATCTATCTGGACACCCTACAACTGAATCCTTTGTGTAGAAAGCCCAGTGGATTATTAAAACAGCTGAACTTGTGCTGTGTTGTGGTTTGCTTGAAAATAACCTGTGTCTATAGAGGCAAAGAGAAAAGAGAACATAAATCAACCCACTTCAGGCTCAGCTGTTTAAATGCTTCAGGTAAAAAGTTTAGGTATTTATTCTGTTCTAGATTAGCCAGAGAATTCAGTCTGTTTTCCACCTATGAAAAAAAAAATCTAATAACCTTAGAACTCATCATAATGATTATTTAAAATATCAAGCATTCAATGTTTTGATATTATTTACTAAGAAACTTCTGCTAAAATTCATTACAATCTTAAAAATGCTTTTAGCACTCTGGGAAAAAACTAGAGAAAGAAGATAATAATACATATTGAGTTAGGCAGGTCAAACATTACTTCTAGCTTTGCTTTTTTTGTGATTCTGTGATTTCATTTTTTATTTATAAAATTAATAAAGGTTAAAAAAATAGGGTACATCTGCAGGAAAACAAGCCCTTTCATGTACTTCTGATGAATATGTAAGTAGATAAAATTCTTTTGTAAAAAAACAATTTGTTAATATATATCAAAAGTTCTAAAAATGATCATACTCTTTGCTCTAATAATTTCATATCATGAAGTAACTGTAGAAGTGCAGACTGATCTATATAGCCTGGATGTTCACTGCAGCATTATTTATAACTAGAGGCCCGGTGCACGGATTCGTGCACTGGTGGGGTCCCAAAACCCGCTCTCTGACATCCCCTGAAGGGTCCCGGATTGTGAGAGGGTGGTTCTTGGGTGACACACCCTGGAATTGGGCTCCCTCTTCTCTGGTTCCCTGTGCATCACCCGAGAACCGCAGCTCCTGTGTTGAGTGTCTGCCCCCTGTTGGTTATTGCATGTCATAGCTACTGGCCAGTCGGCTGGTCACTTAGGCTTTTATATATATAGTTTTGCTATTGACCTGTGGCCCTTTGAGCAGGCTATGTTCTTTCTCAAGTCTTATATAGATATAGGCCAGCGGTTCTCAACCTGTGGGTCGCAACCCCTTTGGCGGTCGAACGACCCTTTCACAGTGGTCGCCTAAGACCATCCTGCATATCAGATATTTACATTACGATTCATAACAGTAGCAACATTACAGTTATGAAGTAGCAACGAAAATAATTTTATGGTTGGGTCACAACATGAGGAACTGTATTTAAAGGGCCAGAAAGTTGAGAACTACTGATATAGACTTTGAGCCATATAATCTTTTGGGAAAAAGATTCCCATACATTTTTTGATAAATATAGTAAAATTTCCTTTTTTAATCACTTAAAACATTTTCAATTACAGTTGACATACATTATTATATTAGTTTCAACTGTACACCCCACTGATAAGACATTACATAACTTACTAAGTGATCAACCAGATAAATCTTGTATCATCTGACACCATACTTAGTTATTAGAATATTATTGACTATATTCCCTATGCTGTGCTTTACATCCCCATGACTATTCTGTAATAACCAATTTGTACTTCTTAATCTCTTCACCTTTTTCACCTAATCCCCTCCCTTCTCTCAACTATCAAAATGTTCTCTGTATCTATGAGTCTGTTTCCATTCTGTTTGTTCATTTATTTTGTCTTTTACATTCAATTGTTGATAGATATGTGTTTATTGCCACTTTATTGTTCATATTTTTAATTTTCTTCTTTTTAAAGAAGACCCTTTAACATTTCATACAATACTGGTTTGGTGGTGATGAACTCCTTTAGCTTTTTCTTATCTGGGAAGTTCTTTATTGGTCCAGCTCTTGCCCTGATGGCAGACAATTCAGTTCCTCTCCACATGTCCCTGGTGCCTTTCAAGCTGCTATCCCAGTGCTGGAGTTCAGAGAGAGTCTGAGTAAGTCAGTGTGTGGGCCCTTTAAAAGGAACTGCCTGGTACTCCAGTAGCCCTCCCTTTCCCTCAGCCTCAATCCCTGCTCTTTTTGTTGTTGTTATTGTTTGTTAATCCTCACCTGAGGAAATTTTTTCCATTGATTTTTAGAGAGAGTTGAAGGGAGGGAGGGAGGTAAGAAAGGAAAAAGGGAGAGAAAGAGTCAGGAGGAGTGAGAGAAAGAGAGAGAGAGAGAGAGAGAGAGAGAGAGAGAGATATGAGATACATTGATTGGCTGCCTCCTGCATGCACCAGGGGATCAAATCTACAACCCAGGTATGCACCCTTGACCGGGAATCAAACCCAAGACCCTTCACTGTGCAGGCCTACACTCACTTGAGGCAATCCCTGCTGGTTCTTACAGCTGGAACTTATGGGGCTTCCCTTCCTGGAACTGGAACCCTGGGTTGGGGGGCCTGGTTGGAGCTGGGACCTCTTGCCCCTCAGCTGAGATATCCCTCCTGATTTTTATCTGCCACACATGGATGTGGGATCAGCTGGTTCTGCATCTCCACCCCTCCTACCAGTCTCTATGTGGCTTCTTTAATTCCCTAGTTGTAGGACTTCCATTCAGCCAGATTTCAGTCAGTTCTGAATGATGGTTGTTCTTCTTCTTCTTTTTTTTAATGATGGTTGTTCTATAGTTTAGTTATAATTTTGTGGTTGTGGCAGGATGAGAGTACTGCATTTACCTACACCACCATCTTGACCAGAAGTCCCCTAAAATAAATTTCAAATGCCTTAGGCCACACCCCTAATATAACTCTTTCTCTAGAGATTTTATAAGAATAACTTAAAACAGTGATTGTCAACCTTTTTAATCTGTTACTACTTTTGATAAGCATAAATTCTCACAGATTCCTTTAAAATTATTTGAAGTTTCAAAACAACAAAGCCAAAGCAATTCTGAAATTGTATTATCAAACCACTCACACACACATTTGTTGAGATAACTAATATAAATTACAATATTAGAAAGTAACATTATAACTCTGAAAACCAATTTTTAGGTAAATAAGGTGTTAAACATTTAGGAACAAAGTTTTTAAGAACATTTCCAAGACTATACATATATTTACCAATTCAACTGAACTATTTTCAATTCCTTGTGCCAAGGTAACATTCATTAAAGAGGATTCCTCAGCAGCCAAAGAAACAATATCCTGCTAAAACAAATTAGAAAAAAATGGGTAAGTTATCACAGTAGTAGTCGTCATCACAGGAACAATCTCATTTTGTTAAATGTTTTAATCACATGAATGCTCATTTATAAAACTAATTTAAAATACCATATTCCAGGTAGGCTGCCTCCAACGTAAATATTCCTGTTTTCCATATGCCTCCTACAAAAGAAGAACTTGCATGCCCCTTCCCCCTTGCTTCCTATCCTTGTCACTCCTATTTCTCTCGCCACTGCAGATCTCATATCAAAAGTCTCTGCTGCTGTGTGGCTGAGGTCACTTTCCTTTGAAGCATTTTAGCTAGCCCCAGTCCCCTACCTCTATTCTCATGCCAGTACCAGGTGGCAGAATGAGGACATCTGCAAGTAGAGAGGGTGAGAATGAGAAAAGAGATATTACTATCCCCACCCAGGGCCATGGCAGGATTCTTCCACCACTGCTGGAGCTGTCACTGGCAAAAGGGAAGAAAAACTGTATCTGGAAGGGGAGCAGAGACATAAAGGAAGAAGGAAAAAGAGAAAGCCAGGAATTCTTCATTTCCCATCCTCTCCCCTTTTCATTGCTATAGAAGCCGTCAGCCTTTTTCATCTTCAACCTGTCACCAAGCTTCATACCCCAGGTGTCTGTCATCTATGATCTTGACTAAGTTAGGAGCTTCCTACAACAGTTTCTTACTTGATTTTTCACTTCAGTTTTAAAAAATTTTAGTGAATGTAAGGAGTTGCATTTTATTCTTTAATATACATATTTGTGGAAACATGTTTTTCTCTCTTAATTTTTATGAATATTCTACATTTTAGATACTCTCAATTCTTCAGTTCCTCTACATAAAAATTCTGTTTTATGAAGAGTTGAAAATGATTAATTGGAATCAATATTTTCCTGTCCCTTCAAACTGATTGTTTTCTTATTCCTGACTATATTTCACATCTGTTTACCATTTTTGGAAGAAGAATAAGAATGAAATTGAAGGTTAAAGCATGAGCATAGGATAAAGGAGTAAAAGGTTCAAAAGAACTACTGCATCAATCTCTTTCCTTCACTCCAAGCACTTGGGAAAATCAATTAAACATTTTTTTTATTGATTTCAGAGAGGAAGGGACAGGGGAGAGATAGAAACATCAATGATGAGAAAAAAATCATTGATTGGCTGCCTCCTGCACGCCCCCTACTGGGGATGGAGCCTGCAACCCGGACATGTGCCCTTGATCAGAGTTGAACCCGGGACCCTTCAGTCCACAGGTCGACGCTCTATTCACTGAGCCAAACCAGCTAGGGTGAAATCAATTTTGTTAATGTTAAAAAGTCATAAACTAAACAAGCTTGTTTAGTCATAATTTTCAGTAGTTGTGCTCTAAGAAATGCCTGAGCCCAAATAAAGAAGAGAGTAGTATCCTAGTATCCAATATCTAGTATGTTATCTAATATTTAGTAAAACACATTCTCTTTTAGTGCATTATGAAATTGTCTTTCCTTCCAAGGGCATTCAGTTTCAATGTGGGCTGACTCTGAATTCCCAGAGTGGTTATCAAAGTACAGTGATGATGGGACAGAGTAGAAAAGCACTGGTTTATTTTTATTTGGTATGGCTATAATATTTACATTTGTACAGCCACTAAAGTGACAATTGAGAAAATATTTTATAGTACATTGTTTCCAAGTATGTTTTCAAATAACTATGTTTTTTTTAAGTAAAAGGTATGTCTTCAAATAAAAAAAATGTTTAAAATTTTATTTTGGTCATGGAATCTTTAGATAGTCTTTCAGATGCAAAGCTAAGGTAACTGGTGGGTCCAAAACATACTATTCTTAAAGGTGGGAAGGGTGAATTTAGATCAAAATCAAAACACAGGTGTATTGTCTAGAGTCCTAGAAGATTCCATGACAAACTGGGGCCTAGTAATATTCCCGGCGTATAACCAGATTCGAGTACAATCACTTATTTAATGCACCACACAAAGTACTATTTCAGTATGAAATGGCTTTTCTTGTGATTAACTATCCTAAACTTCCAGAAAATCCTGTTCTACAGATGAAAATCATGTTTTATCCTGTAGTACTGCTACTTACTGAAGAAATTACAGGATAGTATGAGATGAAAATATAAACTATAAATGTAAGAAGATACTAATTAGAGTCTCAACATTCCTTTAATATATCTTGTCAGAAAAATAATATCTTTATGATTCTCTTTGGTTAACGTACCTCAGAGCTAATATTTTTATTAGTATCCTCATGAGAGCTATAATGAGATTCATCAGTCACATCCTGCCAAGTTTTGGGTTGGCTTAACTCTTGCTGGGAATTTGGATCTTTCATCATGGAGGTCTCTGAATTATTAAGGAAGTAAAAAAGATTTTACCAAAATATCTTTCCAACTTAAATTCGAATAGGATTGTTATAAAAGAAAACTTCTGACACTGTGATCCATTGAAACAAAGTGTGTTCAAACTCTCTCTGTCACAGATTTATCTGCCCTTTCCCCACACCTGCCTCTTTTTCACCTCCACCCCCCCATCCTGCACCAACTATCTCCTCAGCACTTACCCCCATACGTTTACTCACAGACAACAGGGATCGTTCAAGCCCACTTAGTATATCGTTCAGCTGATTTTAATGATTTCAGGAAAGGTGGTCAGGAAGCAGGGGCTCACTCACCACATAAGTTGGCTTTATTATTCCTTTATAATAGTCACAATAATAATCAGCAATTATTAATACTCCATGTATCCTCTGGGTGCATGGAAATATCTGTCTCAGGTTAACTGTATTGTTTAAATGCTGTTATCACTAGGTGACTTTTTTCATGTTGTTTTAAAGTGAAACATTAACTTACTAGGTATAAAATTTTTCTTTGTTGGAGGTTTGTGAATACTGCCTTGGGGTGGAGGCGGTGGGAAAGTGTGAGATTAAGAGTAGTACACACTGTATATAAACTTCATCTTTTTATGTAGCTTTGTGGACAAAAATTAATCCATAAAGCTGAAAAATACAATGCTTACATAACAATTTCTTTTAAATTCAAATATTCTTCTAGAGATAGCATTTATAGTTTGGAATATAAAGATGGATCCCATCCTCATTTTGAAATACAAAAGGAAATTTTACATTCCCCTCAACATCAACAGAATTAGGATGTCTTACCTACTACGTTTCTGCCCCCCATTTCTTCACTTATTGATTCCTTTTGTATCAATTTTCTTCCAAGTTTAAAGCCAGAAGACAGAAAGCATTTTGTAAACAACTGTAAAAATACACATTTTTGTTTCTAGATTTTGTACAAGTAAAGCAATTCAATAAATGCAAGCAAATGTGCTAAAAAGTCAAAATTATAATTCATGCACACACATCCAGCATATTAATTAAAAATAAAGAGGTATTGTTTTCCAAGTTTAAGTTCTTGACTATATGAGTGTAAATATGTGTTTATTTATTTGTAAGTAAACATTGCCCCCATGTAAAAGGATGGAAAACTATTACCATTTTCAGTTCAGTATGAATCAAATCCTGGGTAGCAGATGACAGAAGTGTATCCACTCCTCCCCTTGTTTTCCACATCATCAGTCTTTGGGTAGGAGGTGCAAGTTCCAAAACCATGAGCGTGTCAGCGAAGAAAGTAAGCTGTTTATGCATAGTTTTGCTGCTGATCTCCTTGACTGGATCTATGAGCAATTTCCTCTTTTTGTTTTTCCTTTTCCAAGCAATATCTAAATATAAGAAATAGGCACAAATGTGATTGATTGTACAGCTTTGTAAAATATTCTAGGCACCGCATATCTAAGAAATGTCTACCACAATACAACCTACAGAGATGCATAGAGAAGAAAATTCCCTTCTCTCTACTGAAAATTATGCTTTAAAAAGTTTTTGCACAACTAGAGTGTCTAAGCAGCCAAGAATTCACACACTTTGAGGTGTTTCTCTAAGGCTCTGAGGAGAATTCTGTTGACCTACTTAGTGGACAACTGAGAAAATGTAGAGCAGAGGTTATATGGACGAGGAAGTCACTCAATTCTGAGGTTCCTTAAAATATATACATAACAGAATAACTTTTGAAACATTGACTTGTATTTGTCCAGCATATTTTTTCCTTTCCCACTGAAATTCATACACAAAGTCTAAGTGGGTAGCCCATGGGATTTCGTTCCCATAGGACATTTTACCAGGTAGAAAGCAAAAGTTAAGTTTTTCCTTAGCAAAGATGTAAAAGGGGAGGGAAGGTGAGATTTCCAAGAATGTGAAGATCTGGGATCAGATGGAGCCAGCAAGAACAGAAACCAGATTGCTGATGTGCCTCAGTGAAATCCTGGGATAAGATCCCAGAGGAGCTGGCTGTGTGATGACTCCAGAAGCTATGCAGGCTGGGACGGTGGGCACCACAGACAGTGTGGTTGATAACCAGGCGTTCCCTTCCACTGGTCACATATTTCCCCCAAATTTTGATATCACATGGCTTAGGGCAGATAAGGGAGCAGACTGAAATTCTTGCCAGCCCCATGGGGTAGAAGCTCAGAATTGAATTTGATAAAGAATGAACTTGAATGCTTTATTCCTGGCATGTCTGAGTTTATAAACTGAAATCCATATCAAATATACTACTTAAAACTAGTGCCTCCTAAAAGGTGTAGTTATATATTAGATACATATTTATTGTTATTCCTAAAAACATGCTTGAGGTTAAACATTAGAAAAGATAGTACCTCTCTTCTGGTTCTTTTATTATGCCTTATTTGATATTCATTTATGTGTTTATTTATTTAGTGATGAGATTGTAAGCTTCCTTTTTTATTGAGTTTATTGGGGTGGCATTGGTTAATAATACAGGTTTCAAGTGTACAACTCAATGAAATATCACATGTATACTTCATCATGCACCTATTGCCAAGTAAAGTATCTTTCCATCCTCATTTATCCCCACTTTGCCCTCTTCCACCTCCCCCACCCCACTTCCCTCTGGCTAATACCATACTTTTGTCTGTGCCTATGTGTTAAATATATATATTAAAATTAAATATATATACACACATATATAATTTTAATTTCCTTAATAGCAAGAACTATGTCTTCTTCATTTGTGCCCAATACAGAGTAATGGCTCAATAACTACTGGAATTGAACTCAGTTTAAAATTTTCCAGTTTCCCCAAACTGGAAATATGGTTTGATCAGAACAGAACATAATGAAAGGGTCATCTCAAAGTTCCTTCACACCCTTCCCTTTGTATTACAAATGTTATTACTAGATTGCCAACCTCCTAAAATATTTCATAGATTATTCAAATATTTAACAGTGAATAAGATAGTAGGTGTCAAAAATAAAAACATGAATGACTGACCTGAAGTATCAATCGGAACAAGGGTAAATCCTTCCTCTTCATTTGATAACGTGGTTTCATGCATTTTTTCATTTTCCAGTAGATGTGTACACTCTGGATTATCTGGTTCTACTAATCAACATCACCATAAAAGGAATTATAAAAAATAATAGCTGGAGGACTATTTGAAAATTAAAGTGAAAGCTAGACTAATTGAATATTCATATTGCCATCTGGAGCCACATCTGAATTGTTAGAATCATGTATTTAATAGAGTTGAAGCGGCTCAGCTATTAAATGGTCTGGGACCCACAGTGTCTAGGTGAGTCAAGTGTGATCACCCTCTTTTGCACATGTGACATCTAAGGCTGGACTTCGATGTGACTGTGACTATAGTTTCGGTGAAAGTGAAAACAGTGGTACTAACCATAACAAATAACTGACTTAAATGTGATTATATGTCTGCTAAAATTTTTATGATCTATTAAATCATTTAATTAATAGTTGACCCATGAAAACATAACTAAAATTTAATTGTCTATCTCTTGTAACATTTTAAATTTCTACTATTGTGTTAGAAACCAATATCACATGAACGTGAAGCCAATCATATTTTTAATGCTCAAAAAAAAAAAAAAAAAAAAGCAGACGAAAAGACCTCAAATCATTTGAGGTGCCTTCACATAAATTTCAAGTAGAAAATATCCTCCTATTTGTAATTTCTCTCAAATTGTATATAGGCTGTCAAACCATATTAATATGACATTAATATAATTAATAACCATATTAATGTCAAACATTAACGATGTTTTTTACCATGTAACATATGTTGTTTTAATGATTCAAAAACACAGTATTTTGGCAAAGTATTTAAATGTGCTCTCATACCAAATTAACCCAGTCCTTGATAAATAACTACTATTGTACCTTTCTCAGAACCCAGTATCTTAATCTGCATTGTATTGAGTCATACTAAGAGTTTGCAGGACATTTTTTATTATTTTCCAATATACTATACTGCTACTTAAACCCAGAAGTTCTAAAGCTTAATTTGAATATTAGCCACTGTTCACTTTCTACACAAAGAAAATTTCAACATACCCACTATAGTATTGGGAGGCTCAGGAGGCATGGAAACTTCTTTGTTCAAATGCATGTCTTCTAACAGGATATTTTCATCATCTTGTAATAGGTTGTCTTGAAAAACACAATAAATACTTTTGTCATACAGAGTTGAATCTATCATTTGTTCACTAAACGTTGATTGGCATTATATGCAAAGCATTGTGAAAGGATACAAAAACAAATTAATCCTACTTAATTAGATTTGATTGGATACATAGATTATCACATTTCATGCAGGATGACATAGAATTTTATATACTTAATTTTCTTTCCTTTATTTAAAATATATTTTTAGATATTTGATTTCAGGAAATACTATACTAATACTAAGATAGTAGCCTTGTTACAAAGCCATGTTTAGTTTCAGATCAAGAAATAAAAGTGTTCAAACTCCTTTGGTAGAGATCCAAGGTAGAGCCACTATTTTTTCATATTTTCAAAATTCCAGAAATTTGCCATAACCAGCCTTTTAATGTAGGCCAAAGAATTAAAAAAATATTTGATGTATAACAGTCAATATCTTTAAAATATGTATTTGGATTTCCTAGTTTTTGTCTACACTATTATACTTTCATATAATATAAAAATAAAAAATGACATAAAATGCTGGACATAGAATAGCCCTCCCACAATTTCTGTTAAAGAAAACAATGTTTTTTGGTATATGACCTAGTATATTTTGTGAGGACTATACTAAGCTCATTCTTTTCCTTCTAAAAATTAGAAAATTTAAAAAATTAAAGCAAGCAGTATTTCACAATCTATATAGAGAATATGTTTAAACAGATGGTTATTTACTTAGACCTAGCCTAAATGTTTAAATATATTACAAACTTTGAAAACTTGTGTGAAAAAAAAAGCATATCTAAAATGTTAGTTTGATCTAATAAATCTACTAGTACATTAGTAATTTCATAGAAATAAATATCCAATTTCTATAGAACCAGACAGCATACCAATCATTTCTCCTGCAGCCCCTTCATCACCAAATCCATCTCCACTGTCATAGAGCAGAGATTTTTCTGCATTGAGGCTTCCAGAACTATGTTCAACTAAAGGACCATTGGAATTCAGCAAGATGTTGTCATCAAAGAAGCTATGGCTTCTGAGGATTTCAGCTTCCGCCCCTAAATAAATACATATCATGAATACTGAGTTAATCAGAAAAACACAGAATTTTAGGGTTAGAAGGAAATGCATATATCATCTTCTATAGCCCCTTCCCCTCATTTTACAGGTAAGGAAAAATGAAAGCTAAAAACACTTAGTTAATTATTAAACTAAAGTCACTAAGCTGATTAGTGGATACTGGATTTCTAGTCTAACACTTTTTCCAATACAATAAGAAAAAAGAAAGTCAAAACATCAGGAAAGAGCTTTTAGTTGGTACAGTTTAATAATTCTTCTACTTTAGGTAGGTCATGTCCTGCTTGACCAAGTATTATTTCAAGGATACTTGCTTGTGTTGTTTATCCATAATGGGGGTTTAGAAAAATAAGAAATATGTCTGCCTTCTTAGGAATGAAAAGAATGGGCTTACTACATTCATTCAATAAGTACCTATTGAATGACTAGGTATTAGGCAATATGCAGGGGATTGGAGATACAACAGTAAAAAGAGAAAAATTAACTAACATTAACTGAGTGCTTATTATGTGCATTACATTATGCAATGGAAGATACTATTACTAATATAATCCTCATTGTACAAACAAGGAAACACATCTACAGGAAGGTTTTGTAATGTGCACACAGTCACACTCTAATACTAGTAAATGACAAAGCCAGGATCTGAACCCAGCAGAGCTGGTGGTAGGGTAGTATCAGTGTTAGAATTCTGACTGGTAAAATGTTTTGCCAAGTGGAAGTTTATGACAGAAAACTCCTAAGACACTTTCAGCACCAGATAAACTCCCTCCTTCAAACTAGCCTTCTTCCAAATTGACTGAGAGCACATATTCTCTCCCTTCCCTGGGTTTAAATCTCTATGTCCAGGAGTCTGAAATCCCAGAGTGTCAGAGTTTGGTCTTTCCTGTTCACCCTCTAACAATCCATATTAGTGCTAGTCAGTAAATAAAATCATGAAGTACCACTCAGATTGAAAATTCTTCTATAGGCACACATCTTCCAGAAAGTAAGAGTTTAAAAAGGCAACCTTTATTGTGCTGGACTAAAGATTTGCTCAAAAGAAAAGACTGACTTTTCAAAAAGAACTAAAAATATATCCACATTTTCCAGGTACAGCTTGATAGCACACTCCCCGCCCCCTCCCCCGCCCAAAATCAGTCTTGGTCAATACGATAACATTTATGAAAAGATACTATATTCCTAGCACTGAGCATCACAAGAACCCGAGATTACACAAAAACAATTAATGAAATAATCATTGTCTTCAATCTTATATTGTAATCAGAATAGTATGGATTAATATTAAACATTTCTTGAAGGACATTAGATTTAAATTAGTTTTTGAAGAATAGAAATATCACTTACTGGTAGAAAGGATTAAAGGAGGGTATAAGGAAAATAACCCTGTGATGTTGCTAAAAGTATCCCAATTTAGGGGAGTAAAGCAGTAAAGGATAGGGCAATAAGGCTCAGAGAAGTTAGGTAATTTGTCCAGTATCACACAGCAAGTCCACAGAGAAAGCCCATATTCGAACCCAGGTTTGTCGGTCTACTAAGAACATGTTCTTCCCACATATACTAGAAAAAGGCAAGGACAATATTATTGGGGGTTAAATTTATATATAAAAAGATTCATTTTAAGGATATTTCTATTGGCATAGAAATAGCTATTTCTATTGGCATAGTTTCAATACAAAACCGCAAATAAAGGGTGTCCCCCCAAAATGCATACACACTTTAACAACTGATAGCTCAATTTTAAAAATGAAATGTATTTTAATAAACATTGCCTTTATAATTATTCAAAGTGTCTATACGCATTTTTTGGGACATTCTATATAATTGATTATGATGTAATTTTGATTTCCCAAATATTCTCACCAAAGTTCCTAGCTTGGAAAAGTAGAACATTGTGATAATCTTCTCTAAGTGTGATTTCTTCTGGTCTGCTTTGGTTCTGAGTAAATTTTTCTAAAACACCAATAGCACTATGGAGAATATAAAATTGAGGAAAACATGTGAACGGAACATGTTTTATAGTATATTGCAAAACAACAAAAACATCCCTAAAACAAAAAAACCCAGATTTTATTATAAAAATAAAAATTTTTATTTTCTCAATAGTATTATTTATAAACACTAGTTTCTTATACATGCCTATGACCTCCAGATTGCCAAGTCCAATGGTCAACTCTCAGTCCTATCTTACTTACCCCAACAATAGCATTTGAAATAGATGTTAACTTCCCTCCTTATGAACCACTTTCTACTTTTGGCCTCTGGAATATCACTCTCTCTTGATTTTCTTTCTATCCCATTGGCTGCTCCTTTTCCATCTCCTTTATTATTCTTCCTCATCTCCCAGACTATTAACTATTAGGAATGACCCAACACTCAGTCTGTAGATCTTGATCTCATTTTCTCCCTTACTCCCTCTCTCCCTTTAAAATCTATACTTACTCCCTTGGGGATCTCCTATGACTCATGGCGGAAGTTCATCTAAATATTCACAACTCCCAAATTTATACATCCCATCCAGACCTCTTCACATTTCCTGAATCTCAGACCCAAATATTCAACTACCCACCTACTCCCCTTGGATGTATAACAGTCACCTTAAAACTTATGTCCAAAAACTAATTTACTTCCTTCACATTGTCCCTCTTAAACCTGCCATTCTGTAGTTATCCTAATATCATTAAGTGGTAACTCCATTCTCATGCCAAAAACCATAGAGTCATCCTTCACATCTCTCTTTCTCTTAAAGCCATATCCAATCAGCAAATTCAGTTGGCTCTGACTTCAAAGTATATTCATAATTTGACTGTTATGCCTCGATATAAATGAAGACTGAGAACTAATGACATACACTGTCATCTCTCACCTGGACTTCTTACTGCAATAATCTTCTCACAGGCTCTCTGCTTCCTCCCCTTTCTACTATAGTGAGTGGCCAAAGAGAGCACTTGAAATCTAGTCAAGTGCAATCACTCTCCTATTCAAAACCCTCCTGTGCTCCCCAAGTAAAATAAAAGTCCTTATTGTAGCCCCACATCTGCCTTCCTGGCTACCTCTCTGACCTCATTTCTTACCACTCAGACCCTCATTTACTCCACTCCAGTCTCACCTGCCTCCTTGCTGTTCCTTGAAAATGCCCAGTGCACTCTGCCTTAGCACCTTTCTTTCCACTTGCTCTACCTGAAATATTCTTCCTCGCATTATTGAATGATTTGTTCCTTTACCTCCTTCAGGTTTCTGTTCTGACCTTATTAGAAAAGTCTGGCCTGACCATTCTGTTACTCACCAGTATTTTATTTTCTATTTCTCTTCATAATGATGATCATCTCATAATGTATATTTACTTGTTTATTTGTTTATTGTCTGTCTACTCCAACTAAAATGTAAGATTCATGCTGCCAGGAACTGTGTTTTACTCATTGCTATCTCCTCTGTGCCTAGAACAGTGTCTGGCATATAGAAGGCACTCAATAATTATTTACTGAATGAATGGATGAATATACTATCCATATTGCAAATTTAGCAAATATAATGATATTTGTTTGGTGTTCTTTGAAATTTCACACTAAATTTAAGCCTTTGTCTATGTGTTTACTTCAGTTAACTACATCCATTTGCATTCATGATATCTGAAGATGAAAACAATAAAATAACAAGAAAGTCAAATTGAAGGAAAATAAAATAACTTACTTCACATTCTGGATTTCAAAATCATGAAATTCTTCTGGCAGTGTGATAGCACTGTAAGATGCTTCAAAATTCTCCTTCGGAAGGTCAACTAGTCCTGAAAAGAATAAAAAACCACATTCAATAAGTCACCATGCTATGCAAAATAGAAACTCCCAACTAAATCTTTTTTATTTAAATAAGACTTTCTCTCACTGGACTACTGCTTAGTCTCCTAACTGGTTCCCTTGTATCCACTCCTGCCTCTCTCCAGTCCATTCTCTGCAAGGCAGCCAGAGTGATATTTTAAATACAAAATCAGATCAGATCACTCCCATGTTTAAAATGATTCAGTGACTTTCCCAGTGCATTTAAATAAAATCCCAATTTCTAATCAGGGCCTCTGCAGCCCTACAAACCTATCAGCATCATCTAACGACACTCTTTCCCTCACTGACTATACTCCAACCATACTGGTCTTTTTGTTCCCTGAACAAGTTAAGCACTTTTTCACCTCAAGACCTTTGCCCTTACAGTTCCCTCTGCCCAGAATGCTATTCCCTCAGGGACTTTTTAGATGACTGGGTATTTCTCATTCTTCAAGTTTGAGCTTAAATGCTATTCTCTCGGAAAGTTTTTTCCTGACTAACCTAACTAAAATAAGATGTGCTGTTATTTTCTGTTGCAGTAATCTTTTTATATTCCTTCACAGCATAATCACAATCTATCATAATTGTAATAATTTTAAAAACTGCTTCATTATCTGATTTCCTCACCACACCAAAAGGGACCTATTTGTCTTGTTTGTCCTTGTATCCCAGAGCCTAGCATAGTGTTTCACATAAAGTATGGGGGCAATGAACATTTGTGGAATAAATGAAATAATGAACAAATGAACCATATTCAATATAATTTTAAGTCTACATAGAGATTATACAAATATTTTAAATAAAGAAAAAACCCTGTCAATCCTGATTCAACAAATACTCATTGAGGGAATAGTATATACAAGGAACTGAGAAAAATACTATTAGAAATTCAGAAAATAAATGACAAAAATATTGCCTTCAAGAAGCTTACAGACCAGTGTGAGAGGCAAAGCCTGTAACTAAATAACCATAATACAAGATGGAAAATGATTTCTTAAAATTAAATTTAAAGACATTATATTTATATTACATGTAAATCTCTAGCACTTTGGGATAGCTAGAGATTTAAAAAATATTTTATTAATAGCATGCTATTTAAGGAGTCTTGAGAATTCTGAAAACAATGACAATTATTGATATCTAGGTTTTGTCAATTATACTATTTCTAATTTATCTCAAAAGGCAAAAACAGATATGGCAAACAAAGTAACACATTTAAAACTGAATATCAGAGTGTGTTGCACAAGTGTGGTAGCTTTGTGTAGATTTCTTACATAAACATGCAGAAACATTACACGTTTTTGAAAGCATAACCTTTTCTACAAACACAGGAAAAGAATGAAGGAAAGAATATAACTTGTCCTTAACCATGGACACTTAGTTCGGTCAAAAGAAAGATTACTTTCACTATACTCAACCTGGATTTATGGAGTTCCGCCAATTAAAAGAGTCCACCTGAAATAAAAATGCAAAAGGGAACCAAGACATATACCTGGGCGAAATGTCATCTTCATTTTAAGCAATGCTTCGCTGCAATCTGCCAAAAGATATTTTGCCTTCCTATTATAGATCCGAACAACTCCCAAGAGAAGATGTCCTGAAGTCCGAAGTGCAATTTTCACCTTTCAAGAATTTTTAAAGTATTAGAATATTAAAAATTAGATTCGCAAACTCTGTTCTTTGACAATTATAAAATCATAAGAATTTCTTTTCTTTTTTTTTTAAAATATATTTTATTGATTTTTTACAGAGAGGAAGGGAGAGAGATAGAGAGTTAGAAACATCGATTAGAGAGAAACATCGATCAGCTGCCTCCTGCACACTCCCTACTGGGGATGTGCCCGCAACCCAGGTACATGCCCCTGACCGGAATCGAACCTGGGACCTTTCAGTCTGCAGGCCGACGCTCTATCCACTGAGCCAAACCGGTTTCGGCAGAATTTCTTTTCTTTAAAATCAGACATTTTGTATTCTTATTTAAAGTGAATTGCTTAACTTCTACCTCACCTAGTAAAATAGTTAACATTTTTTTTCTTCTATGAAGATAATCTAATGTGGCATTTAAGTGAAGTATGCTATTATGGGCTTCATGGGAAGAATACAAAGTCTGCAGTCAGGCAGATTTGGGTTCAAGCCTTGGGTCAACTGCTAACGCTGAGTCATTTAACCTTCCTGAACTTCAATTTATCAACAATAGCTACAATTTATTATATACTTCTTCTGTGCCAGGCATTGTCCTGAGAGCTTTTGATTCATTCATTAATTTAATTTAGACAACAACCTCTTTTTACAGAAGAAAAAACTGAGACTCAGAGATGTTAAGTAGTATGCCCAAAGTAACACAACTATTAAGTGATGAAACAGGAATTAAATTTAAATTTGACCAACTCAAAAGTCCACACTCTTAACTACCACACTTCACTGAAGCAAAAAGAAGTGCATTGCATAGGATTGTTATGAAGATTTAAAAAACTAATGAACATAAAGCCTAATCCACTGCTTTATACATGGTTGGGTTTTTTTAAAATTATAATTTGTCTTCTCAAGCAGAAAACTTAACCTATAAAATATTAAAATACTATCTTAGTGTAAATTCTAATAGCTTGTTATGGTTTTTATAATGAACATAATACTTTATTGTTTATGAAGTGTCTTCATAGATATTTTCATTTATATTCAATCCTTTTTTTCTACTCTCCTTATTTATTCACTCATTTTTTAAAAGGAATACTTATTTGATACTACTATGTACATAGTAATCTGATAGAGGATGAGAAACGATTGCAAAATATGTATAAGACATGGCCGTTATCTTTCAGAGTCCAATCTATTTATGATAAACATAACACAGTTCATCTATATATATAAAAGCTCAAGCAGCGGTTACGACCGAATGAACAGAATGACCCATTGACCAGTCGTCATGATGTGCACTGACAACCAGGGGAAGACGCTCAGTGCAGGAGCTGCTCCCTGGTGGTCAGTGCACTCCAACAGCCAACCTCCCACAGCCCCTACCCCCAGGCCCTGATTAGGGGGGCCAGCAGGCCAGCCTCCCATGGTCCCTCCCCCCGGCTGGCTGGCCCCTTGATAGGCCTCTATCACCGGCTAGGCTGAGGGACCCCACCCATGCATGAATTCGTGCACCAGGCTTCTAAAATATATATATATATATACATATCATATATGATATATGCATGATATATTTATCATCTATATGAATAGATGATAAATGTTATAGCAGTGGTTCTCAACCTTCCTAATACCGTGACCCTTTAATACAGTTCCACATGTTGTGGTGACCCCCAACCATAAAATTATTTTCGTTGCTACTTCATAACTGTAATTTTGCTACTGTTATGAATTGTAATGTAAATATCTGATATGCAGGATGTATTTTCATTGTTACAAATTGAACATAATTAAAGCATAGTGATTAATCGCAAAAACAATATGTAATTATATATGTGTTTTCCGATGGTCTTAGGCGACCCCTGTGAAAGGGTCGTTCGACCCCCAAAGGGGTCGCAACCCACAGGTTGAGAACTGCTGTGCTATAGGAACTAAAAGAGAGACCATTTGAGAAATAAAACATCCCGGGAAATATGTTCCATGATATAATGTATTTTAATTCCTTTCCTCTCTGTAAGTCATGGCAAGTACATGCTATATTTAAACAATAACATACCTTAGGTGAAATAATTTTCTCAATGATTATCTCTAGATTACATTCAGATACATGGGCCTTTGTGAGTTTCTTCTCCCAGTGAGCGGCAAGCCAGATTTTGGCCAATGGCCCCCGCTTACTCATAAGCACATGTGTGTAGAACATGCTGCCTGTGTTCCTTAGTTGCGTTTAGTGAACAAGAGAGAACATTAAAAGCTATTTAAAATTTGATTACAAAAGCTTTTCAGTACTAATTGACAGCAAGCAAAAACACTTTTCCTTCGTTCTATAAAACAACGCTCAGATTACCTTCTAGTTCGATGTGTTATTCAATTCAAATTATTTTTTCGTAAAGAAGAAACCCTTATTTAAAATACAAAATAATAAACAAATGACAGGGCTCTATTAGATTGTGAATCACCCCTGGTTTAAAGGTATCCTGACCACTGATCCCTGTTTGCATTTTAGTTATTTTATCCTATAAAGGGTTCTCTTATTAATATGGTCAAATAAGTAGAGGAGGGAGCCTGAAAAAAAAAAAAAAAGAGATGGGAACAGGGGGAAAAAACAATGAATTGGAAAAGGTGGGCCGAGCTAGGAAAAGAGAACACAGGCCACCTCTTTTCTAAGACACAGGAATTTGAGACGTGTGGGATTATTGCTTTATATCCGGGAGTCAGATTTCTTTGTTCTTTTCAAGATGCTTTGGTTTACTCAACAATATATTAATTTTTAAAATCTATTTTATTGATTTTTTACAGAGAGGAAGGGAGAGGGATAGAGAGAAACATGGCTGAGAGAGAAACATCCATCAGCTGCCTCCTGAACACCTCCTACTGGGGATGTGCCGGCAACCAAGGTACAAACCGGTTGGGGCAACAATGTAGTAATTTTTGAAGTTGAAATAGTAAAACTCCAAAGGACCGTAAAGTGGAAAAAATAAGAAAACAAGAAACTATAAGAAAAAAAAAAAAGAAGGCGAGAAAGGAAACAGGAATCAACTTCAAATGTTCTGAGATGAGAGTGGCAAAAGTAAACCACTGACAACAGAAGGTAAGCATATTTCTGCACAATACGCTCTTCTCCAGAACCTCCCGGGCTCCGCATGGAGCAAAGGGAAGTCCTAGTGCCTGGCTGACTCCGAGAGGGAGAATCGGCGATTCGCTCACATAAAGGGTGTCCCAAAATCCACGCAAGATTTGAATTTTGCATGAGCATTGACAACAACAACAACAACAACAAAAAAGCCCAATTTTACTTGGTTTATTGAATCAAATTCTAATATCTGTTGCCCTTTGATTTCAATCCCTTCAATTTGATAAGCATCATCAAGTACCAATTATGGCCCAGGAGCAGGGACAATGAAGACCAATGAAGACCACTGTGCCAGCAAAGCCGTGGAGGCCATTTACCCGATGTGCTATTCCATACATAACCCTATATTGGATACTTTATGAATCAATAGAAAATTTACAATGTTTAATTATAAACCTGTGTTTTCTATCAAAATTACTTCTTGCGTGAATTTTGGGACACCCTTTATAAATCATTTTAAGCGGCCACCATAAAAGCTGCTCTCTTTTTTTTCGTTTCCTTTCTAAAGTTCGGAGCAAGTTGAGCCAAAATAAATACCAAAACCAAATCAGCCACAGCGTTAAAATCAGCGGGACTGTGACCAAGGCCCGTGTCCGCCCGGAGAACCAAATCCCCGCCCCGAGGC